TAATGAATCTAACATAGGCTAATGTAGACATAAAATGAGCTTTATAATATTGCTTTTTGGAGAAAGGATTTCACAAAGGTATAAGTACCAAAGGTGAGAGTCACAGTGTTAGTATTTTGGCTAGAACCGAGCACCAGAATAGAAAATCTCAGGCTGGACTCAGGTCAAGGAGAGCTACTCAAATTGTTGAAAAGCAAATGCCCAGTACACTAGTCACACATAAACCCTCTCAATTCAGCCCTGCCCAAGTATGTTCTGTGATATACCATCTGCTAGCAAAGATCAGTCTCTTTTTCTTCCTTCAACGTCTTTCTCAAGATAATTCTCTCGTGTGGTTGCTCTTTTGCAATCTCTACTGATCACAATGCTAGGCTGGAAAAGTCCAGGTTATTTTATGTTATACATTCTTTCATGTATCTTCTCTAATCCTCTGTGCCAGACAGAACTATTTAGGATACCAGGCCATTTTTCTAAGAGCTTCTGTTAGCTTAATTGAGATCCACCTTAGTTCCCTAGTTTTCTGATTAATCTTCAGATATGACATTCCAGTCAAAGCCCTGTCTAATAATGAGTATTTCTTATTTCTGAATCAATGCAACAAGCATTATTGAAATTATGCAAATAATCCTCCCACAAAATAAGAATATTTCCAAATATTTTCCAATTCCAGAGGGATCAGGAAGGAAGAAAAGTTGGTTTCCATTTAAAGAAACAAACAAGAAATAATATTTTAACATATTGCTAAACCTATTGACAACTGAAAAGAAAGTAAACTGTTTAAACTGGGAAAACAAAGCATAGTAAAAGAATAGTCAGTAATGTTTTACTCAAAAGTCATAAAATTCTATTTTACCAGTTCAGTCTTATGTTCAAACTCCCTTCTGTTGAATATGCAGTGTTGCTGTGGTCCAATCTTTCCATTTAAATCCTGGAAGTTAACATTCTACGTTGTTATTGATATTTCCTGTCCCTAGCATTAAATTGGTCATTTTCTTGGTTGCCTTTTGTTCTTATTTCTGTATGTATCTTTAGTTTCACTGGTCAAGCACTCCTTTCAGAATTTCTTGAAGAGTGGGTCTACTACTGGCAAATTCATACTTCACATTTTGAATTAAGTATGCCTTCCTTAGCTGGAAGTTTCATGAGCCTCTTCACAGTTTTTCATAACATATTCTTCACAGTTTTTCACAACACTGAATTTGTCCTTACATACAATGGAAGTTTTATCTGTCTCCTCCCTAGACAATAAGCATAAAAAGGTTGGACACACTGGCATAGTGTCTAGCATGGAATATGAGCTCCAGAAATATTTGCAGCTGGCAAAGACTCTAAAATGCTATGTAAGGCACTATGGCAGAGAGAAAAGCAAAGTGAGATAGGCAAGTAATAAAAAAGCACATTTTGTGTGGGTGCTCACTAAAAGGCTCTATGTCAAATTTGAAGCAGGCCTTCAAAGATGAGTATGTGTGCTGAATGTGGGACTTCCTAGACACACGTTGAGAAGGGAAATAAATAGAATGCACTAGTAGAAACATGAATGATCAGGGCTACCATGTCCATTAGACTTAGCAGACCCAGTACCCAGAGCCCAAGTTACTGTAGAGATGCATAGCCTGTTTTAAATGTTAATTTCTTTCTCTCTCTCTTTCTTTCTTTCTTTCTTTCTTTCTTTCTTTCTTTCTTTCTTTCTTTCTTTCTTTCTTTCTTTCTTCCTTTCTCTTTCTTTCTTTCTTTCTTTTTCTTTCTTTCTTTCTTCTTTTTCTTTCTTTCTTAGAGAGACAAAGAGATAGAAAGCGAGAAATCACCCCCCCCCAGGGGGAATGGCCATGCCACAAGCCCTTCTCCTCCATTCTCTTCTCAAGATCTTGGGCATGCATGCACACATGCCCGGCATGAGTTTAAGCCATCGGGTCTGGTACATGAACCGTGGCCAACTACATGGGCAGTCAGCGACATAGCCATTATGCTAACTGCTGGCCCCTAAATGTTAATTTCTTAATAATAAGAAAAAATATATAAGAATGAATGTATAAGAATGAATCCAACATATGCTAATGTAGACATAAAATGAGCTTTATAATATTGCTTTTTGGAGAAAGGATTTCACAAAGGTATAAGTACCAAAGGTGAGAGTCACAGTGTTAGTATTTTGGCTAGAACCGAGCACCAGAATAGAAAATCTCAGGCTGGACTCAGGTCAAGGAGAGCCCAGATGATAGGCTGAAGAGGTTCTTCAATTTTGGCTTTGATGTTCAGAGCCTGTTTATGTCAACCTCTTGCTTCTAAAAGACTTTAGAAAGAGAATTTTTGCAGGAATAGGACTGGATGGCTTTTGAATAGGGTGATCAGTTAGGAGCTTTTTGCATTGACTCACATGAGCATTAAAGAGATTACAGAATAAAGAAATGGATATTATTAAAATGATTAAAATTCAGGTAGTTACACATACATTTTGAATCATATACAGAAGATCTTTGTCTTCCCAATAGAAAACCCCCAAAGTCATAGTGATCTATTTGTAATTTCTATGATTAGAGGAGAGGAGGTTCTAGGAGAGGAGGAACATGGTACATCTTATTTCCATATTCTATCAATCTTTCTGTTGTAACAGTCAAGAAAAGAAAGTTAGATCTTGTGAAAATGTTAAAACTATCATAACCAGAACTAGGTCCCTGATCAAGCCATCCCAATTGTCAAAGCCTGAATATGTGACAAATACTTTCCAATTGTTTGACTGTTGGATTATTCTGCAAAGCAAAACCAAAGTAACAATAGATACATGAATTACAACTTAATTAAATGTTCATTTAAAATGTTATTAATTATTCTAAATGGGGAGATCTCTGTCTATGGTATATAACTAACTGAATGTACATGTATAATCGTAACTCATGTATTTATACATAGCAGTCATTGACATACAGAGAAAGCTACAATTATATAAAAGCACGTGATATGCACTGAGTGCATTGGTATTGTATGTAAATGTGTTAGCTTTCTCACTGAGTAATTTGTGCACCTAATATGTGCCAACTCTTGTGTTAGAAATACAAAGTGAGCACAACCAATATGGCATAATTCAGGTACTAGGAAAGCACCTAACCTAACAGGAAGATTAAAGCAAGAACACACTAAGGCAAGGTGATGTTTGCATCAAGTCTTGAAAAAGAAAATGTTAGCCGGGTAGAGTATAGCCAGAGAGCATAAGCCTTTGTTAAAGGCACAGGGATTACACTTGTATTTAAAAGACGTTGTTAACTTAGTGTATCTATGGAGTGTGATGATCATATGCAAGGTGATGTTTGCATCAAGTCTTGAAAAAGAAAATGTTAGCCGGGTAGAGTATAGCCAGAGAGCATAAGCCTTTGTTAAAGGCACAGGGATTACACTTGTATTTAAAAGACGTTGTTAACTTAGCATCAGTGTATCTATGGAGTGTGATCATATTTTAAAAAAATCAATGAAGTGGGGTGGCTCCATAGCCCAGTGGTTAAGGAAGTCAGATGGCACATGGGCTGCCACCGCAGTTTGAATCCTGGCCCCAGAGGCTTGGGAAACATGATGAGCACATGTACGCGAGTGTTCTAAATCCCAGCAGGATGGAGAAAGGGAGGAAAAGGGATTGTGGCATGACCACGTCCCATTGGGGGTGCTTTCTTCCTCTCTCTGTCTTTCTCTCTGGTGAGTATACACACCTTCTGACGATTAAAGGAAAGCATAAAGGTTATGAATTCCTTGATGCTAAAAAGAGAAAACATTCACTGTGTGGTATTGACGATTAAATTAGCTGCTTTTCTGGAGATTAGAGATTGTCTACCTTGGTGGCAGAGGAACAGACTAAACGAATCTCTTAGAAGCTTCCAAAACTCCAATTCTTTGATTTATTCACTTGAAAAGTATGAAGAATAATCACAGTGTTAAAACTCCTGAGGATATATTTAGTATTCTATAAGAGACACTAATGCTGTTTACCATAAAAAATTCATTATTCTATAAGATTATATGAAAACTGAAAGGTGTCAAAACATAACCATTCAACTGGTAGTTTTCAGAGGTGCCCATAATTTTATTAACAATAGTACTGAAAGAAATTCGGGGTAGAGTTTTCGAAACTGAGTCTCATTGGCCACTTGACAGCAGCTGAATTATTCCAGCATTTTGTGTTGCAACAGTTCTGTAGCTATATTCAAAATGTTGGGTTCAAGGTAGGAAATGAGTCTAAGTCGATGTTACTCTTGAGGTTAAAGGTCTGTTTCTTTCAATCAGTTCAAACTGACAGGCCTCCTGCCATCACCTCCTCCTTAGCCAAGCAGACGGGCCCTGGCCCTCAGTGTGAAAACATCTGTTGAATGAATTTATTGACTGGATCTTGTTTTTTCTCTCCCTTTCTCTATTTTTTTTCCCCTTTTTCCTTCACACCGTTTATTATGTCTCTGACCTGATGAACTTAATTTGTTGACATGTCACTCTCAGTGTCTCCCTCAATCCTCGTCTCACGTTTCTTTCTACTGTGCTCTTTTCCCGGCAGCCGCCCTGCCTGGAGGCCCAGCACCCACGTGCACTCTCGGTGCGCCAAACGCAGCTGGCTGCGGTTGGCGTGGATGGATTGCAGAAACATCGTCTTCTCTCCAGAACTCATTCTTCTCCTGCTGCCTCCATTTTACCTCACCCAGCAATGGACCGCCCCTTCCAGCCTGGCTGTGTAACTGGTAGGAATCCCTGAAGACTCTCCCTAATAGGCAGGCTAAATGCGCTGTTCTTGTAGGATTAACCGATTTAAATGCTCGGAATAACTCCTATACTAGAACGCCCCCTTTTACCCAAATTTTATGAGGTTATATTGGCCATAAGACAAATAGCACATCTGATAAATCTAGGGCTTAGTATTAATAGCCTCATAAATCGTTATCATTCAAGGGCCTGGAAAGTACATCAACAGGTGCATGGTCCCTTTTGGAAATAAAAATCCCTACCACATTCTTTAGCAGTATTCCTCAGTCTCTTACCTTCTAGTAGCCTGGCCACTAGGGAATTTATGATTCTTGGCTTCCCCATTTGACTTTAAAGCTTGCCCCTTCCCCAATTTATTTCCTTATTATTTTGCTCCATTGATTTCTTCTGATATCTCATGCAAATGACTCAATAGTACCAAGGCAATAGTACCAAGGCAAACCTTGCTTGATTCTATGTATGCCAGTTTCATTTCCATTTATTATAGTATTCTAGCTGGGTTTTTATTTTGTTTTGTTTTGTTTTATTTTTTTTTTTTCCCTATCACCTGCCAGAAAGAAGGGGTGGGCTATGGGGACTGGAGGGGAGAAGGAAAAAGCACACCCTCACTAGGACATGGTCATGACAAAATCCTTTCTCCCTCACTAGGACATGGTCATGACAAAATCCTTGCTCTTTCATCGTGTTGGGATTTGGGGCACACACACTCTGCGTGTGTTTCAAACCACCAGGGCTGGGATTTGAACCATGATCACACATGTGGATCCAGCTCCCTTACCCACTAGGCCATGAGGACAAACATCTGGCTGGGTTTTTAACCACCCTCTTCCTTTGCATGTAGCAGTATTGCGTATTTCAGAACCTGACTACAGTGGCAAACAAGCCAACCAATTCCAAGGCCAGAAGTTCAAGTCTAAAACACATGCCAAAAAAGTGAAAAAAAAAAAAATTAAAAAAAGGAGCAGTGCTCTTCACAAAGGAACTGTACTGTAAACACATGTGTGGATCATTACTCCTTTTGACTCCATTTTAGTTCAAATGCTCTCAAACTGTAGCTTATCAAATGAAAGATATTGTAGCCCAAGGAGACTCATGACTTAGATGTAGTAAGAGGGAAATTCCTATCTACCTTCCCCAAAGGCTCTCACAGGTTATCTGATTTATTTTTGAATCAATTTTGAGTACCCAGAGCTTGTTTTGGTGACTTCTATGACTTCATGTGATCCTTTGTGCTTGAAAAGTTAAAATACCTTTTTTTGATCCATGTACTCAAGCCTTGATATCTTTTATTTAAAAAATCAATGCATAAAATGTTCAAATGATTGAACTTTGATAGGCATCTTTAATAAGTATGTACAGGAGCTACTTTTTATAATGCGTTATACCACAAGACAACATTCCGTACTAGGATCTAGAGGCTGGATATATTTCTTTCACCACACAGACCACTACCTCTGATCCCTCTGTTTCCTGGAGCATAGCAAACATGCCTGATATCCCAGACAGCTGAGGGTCGCAGAAGCCTTTTGGATCAACCACACCTGGTGCATGTGCATTCAGAGAGTTTTTGCTCAAAACCAGATACATGATATAGGAGACTACTTTTGGCATGTAGCAATAGCAATAACCTTTAAGAATTACTTTTCAATCCTTTCTCCTGAAAGTGTCTTTCATTCTGATGTAACATTTCAAAGAACACTCAACAGCAACCATCCTATCGTAATGCCATTTCTATTGACTAATTTCCTTAATTAAAAAGTGGGTTTAGTTTCATGTTGATGCTACTGTGTATGTATACTGCTGTTAATTGTTGTAATCCTGTAGAGTTTCTTTCTTTGTTAAGAGGGGTGGTTCTTTCCTGACATGCTTTTCTCTACTTTTCATATTCCTTTGACAGGAATGAAGCATGTTCTCTAAATATTAGAAAGATTTTGCCAGTTTGAGGAAACAGTATTGCGAAATATTCAGGGTTTATAGGTCTTAGAAAGATCCAGGTGAAAGGGCGGAATGGTAATCTAATAACATAAATATCGTTTGAACTTGATCACTGAAACTGAAGACTGGGCCGTTTCAGATAATTAGTTTCTTTTCTCTTTATGTCAGCCTTTTCATATTTATCAAAGCAAATATTCCAAAAATAAATAAGGAAATGAACTTAACGTTGTTTACATATTTAATGGTTTGATGAGACAGTTTCTTGCCCAAATACTAGATTATATCAATTTATATAGTTTTTCTTTCTTTCTTTTTTTTTTTTTTTTTTTTTTTAGGGTTTTGCCATACAGCATGCACCAGAGAGAGGCAAAGAGAAGGAATGTGAGAAATCACCCTCCCCCCCCCCGGGGGGATGGCCATACTGCAGTCCTGTCTCCATTTTCACACATGCATGGCATGATTTTCAAGCCACTAGGTCCAAGATCCTAAGTGTGGTCAGCCATGTGGGAGTCTAGTGCCTTAACCACTGTGCCACCTGCTGGTTCATCAATTTATAATTTTTAAAATACAGGATTTTGCATTTAACAGGCATTCAATAAAATTGAGTTGAATCAGCATATTGATTACATAGTAAACACGTGAATTCATTAGTTCAAATTTGAATACACTGATATTGAAAGCTACTTAGTAATTACAGAATGACTTGCTGATTTGTAAGGTGTATGTATCTGAGTAGGAAAAAAAACTGTTTATTGGCTTACTAGAACAAAAAAAAGTTGCAGTATCACACTTAAATTCTTATAAGAAAAAGGTGCAATAATTTTTAAAAAATTCTTGCAGTGTTTATAATTTATATCCACTAAAATCTACTCCACTGACATTGGGATTAAAAATACTTATTTGAGGGACCAGCAGTTAGTGTAATGGCTATATTGCTGGACTCCCACCACAATTTGAGTCCTGGACCTGGTGGTTTAAACTCACGCCGGGCATGTGTGCTTGCGTGTTCAAGATCCCAAGAGGAGAATGGAGGAGAAGGGATTGCGACATGGCCATCCTCCCTGGGGGGTGATTTCACACTTTCTGTCTCTCAGTCTCTCTCTGTTTTTCTGGTGAGTGCATGCGCCCTATAGCAAAAACCTTTCCCCCCCAAAAATTATTTGATTGATTAATTTAGTGCTATTAAGAAAAGAAATTCACCATCTTCCCTCTGCTTCTCCACATGTTTCTCCAGCTTTTATCCAGGCTTGTGTTTTCTCTGTAACCTTATAATCCAAATTCTCAAAACTCACGTTAATGTTTCTAATCTTTTTTTAAATAATTATTTATTTAATTTTATTTATCATTATTATTATTTTAAAATTTGACACAGGTACTCACCAGAGAGAGAGAGACAGAGAAAGTAAGAAAGCAAAAAAGCAAGCCACCTGGTCTGGAACTCGGACCACAGTAGGCCATGTGGGATTCTAGTGCCTTAACCACCATGCCACCTGCTGGCCTTAGTGTTTCTGTAATTTTGATTTTAGATTTGATTTTAACCCTTAAGGTTTCATTTCTAACATGTTTGAAAATATAGATTTTCAAGCATTTAACTCCATTCTTTTGACTTTTTAGTGTCTGTTTTCTTATTTCTTAAAAATAGTTTGACAGAGAGTTCATGAGTTCACAGAGAGAGACAAAGAGACAGGGAGAGGTAGAAGGCACCCTCCAATGAAGTACAGGCACACCTCAATCCTTTCTTCTCCAATTCTTCATTCTCTGCATGCACATACACATGCCTGGTGCATTGTTCAAGCCTCCAAGGCTCAGATTTGAACCACAATTGGCCATAAGGGATCCTACTTCCTTAACCGCCAGGCTGTGGCACCAGCCCTTATTCCTGTTTCTTATAGATATATTAAAATATTCAAAAATGGCATTCAAGTATGTTCTTTGGGAGAAAAAATAAAAACCTCATACACCTACTAGCTGTTCAACTAAAAAGCAAGGAAAGAAGAAACAAATGCATTCTAAATGTAGGTGGTATGCCTAAGCCGTTCTGTAAGAGCTCTTGTTTTTGTTACAACTGAAAAGTTATTTAAAACAAGACTCACGTAATTTTCAAGAGACATTGTTCAAGTGTACATGACCCGTGGATCCACAGGACCCCTCAGCAGCCAGCTCCATTAGGCACATATATCCCTTATTGTAAAGAGTAAAACAATGCTCGAAGGGTAAACGTTGAGTTTAGTCAGTTAGTGAAAGATGAAGTCTCTAGTTCATTTCCAGTGTGGATTTGAATGGACCCCCAGATAGAGGCTAAGATATGGCCAGTAGCTAATGGTGCTGGAAAGAAATGGATGAGGAGATCTCCAGGGTGGACAAGAGGAGCATGAGTTCCTGCCGCTCTAATGATGATGAAGAGTGTGTGTTCCAGAGCCAGGTTGCCATATTCTCAAATGGGTCAATTGTTATACTAAACTAATATTGGATAATACTCAGTTTAAGAGGTATTTTATCATTCTATTTAAAGATAAGGCATGATGGGACCAGCAATTAGCATAATGGCTGTGTCGCTTAACTCCCATGTAGTAGACCACAGTTCGAGTCCTGGACCCAGTGGCTTAAACTCATGCTAGGCACGTGTGTGCGCGTGCCCAAGGTCCCAAGAGGAGAATGGAGGAGAAGGGCATGACCCGTGGATCCACAGGACCCCTCAGCAGCCAGCTCCATTAGGCACATATATCCCTTATTGTAAAGAGTAAAACAATGCTCGAAGGGTAAACGTTGAGTTTAGTCAGTTAGTGAAAGATGAAGTCTCTAGTTCATTTCCAGTGTGGATTTGAATGGACCCCCAGATAGAGGCTAAGATATGGCCAGTAGCTAATGGTGCTGGAAAGAAATGGATGAGGAGATCTCCAGGGTGGACAAGAGGAGCATGAGTTCCTGCCGCTCTAATGATGATGAAGAGTGTGTGTTCCAGAGCCAGGTTGCCATATTCTCAAATGGGTCAATTGTTATACTAAACTAATATTGGATAATACTCAGTTTAAGAGGTATTTTA